GGGGCTGGGCAGACGGGAGCCTCGAGGTCAAGTTGCTGGCCGTGGGCACCTTGCAGCACTGAGAGGCACAGCAGTGCCAGCTCTCGCTCACTGGCCTGAACCTGATACTGGAGTTTTAGGTTCCGAGAGCAGGTCTGCTAAGTTCTCTAAAAACCTAAATAAAGGATGAAGCGCTCGGTGTTCAGTGCAGTAGGTGCCCCTCCGCTCCGGGGCGCTCGCGGCTCCCGTGGGTCCCGAGAGGACGTCCTTCCGAGGCATGGCTGCCGTTTCCTGTGGTTTTGGGGGGCAGGTGGGGGGGGGGGGGGAGGAAGGCTGGCGTTTCCCCCATGAGCATGGCTGCTGGGTTCTGTGCCCTGCATCCCGCGCCCCCCGCCCCCCCGCCTCTCTCCCAGTGCTCGCTCCTCTCATGACGACGAACATCTTTCTTAATAAAACAGTCCAGCTTGCCTGGCTGGCTCAGGGGTTGAGCGTCGACCTATGAACCAGGAGGTCACGGTTCAATTCCCGGTCGGGGCACAGGCCTGGGTTGCAGGCTCGATCCGTAGCGTGGGGTGTGCAGGAGGCAGCCGATCCATGATTCTCTCTCCTCACTGATGTTTCTCCCTTTCCTTTCCTCTCTGAAATCAATAATATATATATATATATATAAAACCGCCCAGTTCTATTATGCCCATTCGTAATGACGGGAGTAGTGATCACATTCAGTAAGTGCCTCCTGTGTGCCGGGCGCTGTGGGAAGGACTTCTGATCTTTAAGTGTCACCCGACCACAGTCCCACGAATGTAGCTGCTACTCTCAGGTCCTTCGTCTCGCAGGTGAGAAGCCGAGACCACGGAGGCGGCGTAACTGGCCCAGGTCCCAGCAGGGCTGGGATCTGAGTCCGACCCCCGGGCCTCGGGCTCGGCCACCCGCCCCCTGGGGTACAGGGTCTCAGAAGTGCTGGGTGACGCCGTGGAGTGAGTCCCCAACCAGTCGCATCTGATGGGCCCCAGGCGCTGACCACGGCTGCCGCCGGGAGCCAGCCCAGCCCGTGCCCGCGGGCTTGGGCGTCGCACACAGACCGGCTAACGGGGGCTTTTCTGTGTTGACAGGGATGCTTCCTTCGGAAACTGCACGTACAACCTCACCATCCTCGACTGTTTGCAGGGCATCAGAAAGGTAACCCAGCTCTCCCGGCTGCGGCCACACGGTCGTTTCAAACGTGAAAAGGGAACCATGCCCCTGCCCCGTGTGCTGCGGGGAGGAGAGGGCGTCGGGGCAGAAGGCTTCCACTCCAATGATGGTCTGTAAATGGAGGCCGTGGGGCGGTCGCGGCCTGGCTGCCCTGTCGCTCCTCTCAGCAGCGGAAGGGGCGCCCTCCCATTGCAACTGTCCTGGGCAGCTGTCCCCCGTCTGTCTGCTGCGGGGCCTGGGCATCAGCGCCATCGGCCAGGTGGCGGGGGTGCGAGGCCGGGAGACAGGAGTCCGACCTCTGCTCCCCCGCTGGCCTGGAGGACGGCACGCTGGCTCTCTCTTGATGTTTATGCTTTTAATTGATTTCAGAGAGGAAGGGAGAGGGAGAGGAACGTCAGTGATGAGAGTCACTGGCCGGCTGGTCATTTCACCTGCCTTTGCCCACCCCGGTGTAGAATGGAGAGCCTAACCTGAAAGATGGGAGAATTTGGGGACATGTTTTAGCTATAACCTTGCTGGTATGTTGCATGTTGGAGACAGAAGTAATTTTACACACAAGTCACGTAAATGGCTGTGAAATGACCATCATGTAAATGACCGTCATGTTCTGAGTGTGTTGTCCCCTGTGAGACGGGCTCAGAGCACGAAGGCTGTGCGAGGAGCGGCCTCCTCCAGGCTCTGCGCATGGGCACAGGGCTGTGTGGGCACGGGGCGGCGCTGGCACAGGGCTGCCGTGGAAACTGACCCCCCTCTGCTTCCAGGGATTGCAGCACGGATTTTTCGACTTTGAGACTTTCGACGTGGATGAGTACGAACACTACGAGGTGGGTGTGGTCCGTGTTTGTGGCTGTGACCACGCGTGGGTGCCGTGGGTCCCGCGGGCGGCCGGCGAGGACAGCGCCCTGGCGTTTCCCGGGTTCTCGGTGTCTCCTCTCAGCTCCGACCGGGAGCCATCACTCCGGTTTCGGGAAATGCCGGATCTGTATATTCTGCCGTCGAATGTTTATTGACAGTTACTTTCCACCTTCCTGAGAAAAGTAATCGCACAGTTTGGTAGTGAACTTGTAAGTGACATTTATTTGAAAATCCGGGTTCTTTTGAAAACAAAACTGGACGTGTGCCTTGTAATACCTTTGCCGGCCGCGTTCTTACTCGGAAACGCGGCTGCACCTGCTCAGGGGGAAGCAAGTCCAAAGGCTCGGAGATCAGGCCCTCCCCACACCCCTCCCTCCCCCGCGCGGCCCGTCCAGGGCAAACCTGAACTAATAACTTGCCGCGGATGATTCGGAGCCAAACGGCGCGGACCCTTAATTAACCAAATGCCTCAAATATTTACTTTGCCTTAAGCTCATCAAGTGCCTGTCGTCCCAGCATACTGTGTTTACGGGACGCTCTCACTGTCAGCATTCTGTTCAGTGACAGGGACATTCAGTATTACTTCGCATTAGTTTCAGGTGTAGAGCATAGCGGTCCCAGCGGTTCTCAATCTGTGGGTTGCGGCCCCTTTGGGGGTCGAACGATCCTTTCACATCATTATATTCAATTTGTAACAATGAAATTGGGGGTCACCACCACATGAGGAACTGTATTAAAGGGTTGCGGCATTAGGAAGGTTGAGAACCACTGGGTTAGACAGTCATACGTCATAAAGAAAAAAAGACTGAGTTCCGTCTCTTTGGTTTTCAGAAGTCTTTGTGGCGCTGGTAAACCTCGCATTACATCTGTGATGGCTGTTCTTACATGTAATGTCGCATTTTCTTTAACGGGTGCCTTAGTTTGTGCTCCTGTAAGAAAAACACCATAGACCGTGTGGCTTACGCAACAAACACTGATTTCTCTCAGTTCTGGAGGCTGGAGGTCTGGGATCAGGGGCAGGGAGGCAGGGTGGAGGTGGGAGGGGGACTGGGCGTCTAGGAAGGACTAGCCCCTAGGCCATGGACGGCCCTCCTCTCCCGTGTCCTCAGGTGGTGGAAGGGGTGAGGACACTCCCTGGCCTCTCTTTTAGAAGGGCACTAACTCCATTCGTGAGGGCCCCATCCTCATGACCTGATCTCCCCCTAAAGGCCCCACCTCCTCGCACCATCACACTGGGGTTAGGTTGCAACATGAATGTCGAGGGCCTGGGACGTGCAGTCTTCAGCCATGGAGCAAAAGGAGGCGACAGTAGCACCTGTCGCGGGGGCTGCTCTGAGGCTCAGTGAGCTGCGCGCACCTAAGTGGCACCTGGCACAGAGTCACAGGTGGGTATGTACCCACTGCTGTCGTTACTGTTACTGGTCACTCCCACAGCTTCCAGACTCCGTAATGAGAGAATCATTGATTGCTTTTTAGTATTTAGTGTGAGTTAGAGTCCTTGATGGATGTTTGAGTGAAGGTTGAATGGTGCTTGTGCTGTCTTAGAAAAGACACCTGTTCATAAGGAACCAACCCTGTGGTTGTCAACCGTGGGTCTAGCGTCTCCATCTTACTGTCGAGGACACTACATTGTCCATTATAGAAAGGCTGAGTATCTCCCAGTTTGGGGCTGAGAGATGTATTTGCGGCCATCACAGCAGTGGCCCACCTCACGGGCGCAGACGTAGTTTCTAGAACTTGTGAAAATTCAAGTGCTCAAGTCCCACGGCATTTCAAATGCACCGGGCAGGTTAGCTGTTCCGAAGAAACGGGGTGAACCTCGCGGACCGAGAATTCTATGGCAACGTGATGAGAAACACCCAAATACACCCGCCCAGGAGCCCCGATGTTCCTTATCTTGGGGTGTCCTCCCGGGGAGAGCATCTGGGCCTGCCCCCGGGAGCGGAGGAGTAGGCTTTCGGCCGGAAGGGCGAACTCGCCCCACGGCCTCATCCTTGCTGAGCTGCTGCTTACCGAGTGCGTCGGGCAGGAGTCTGTGTGAGCCAGGTTCTGCGGTGTGTGTGTGTCTGTTTAATGAGAAAGCCTGGTCTGTGTTGCGTTAACTGTTCTAACGTAAATATTGACATGTGTGTACTTCACTCCGAAGGAAGCCCAATGTGCATTTTGGAAGCTTACCAAACTTGGCTTCTGTCAGCCCAGTCAGTTAACGTTCTTCCTCATTTTCTTTTACTTGGATCTGAGACCTAAATCTCTTTGCTTCTCCCATCCACCTGTCCGGGCCACTGAGTATAGTTCAGTATGTCCCATGTTTATCTCCTTGGGAAGGCGGCTGGCAAACACGCTCTTTTGGTTCTGGGAGCGAATGTGCCTTCGTGAGGCCATTGTCTTGCCCGTCTGACGGGTATGAAAGGTTACTGTTTAACCAAGGGATGTCCACGACCCAAGTAAACACAGCCCAGTGTCCTGTCCAGCCCGCTCAGCGGTCAGGGATACGGAGACAGTGAACACGGAAACCCGTTCTCTTCCACTGTTCACAGAAGATGGGTGTTCGCCTTTTGAGGGTCAGAGCCTAGGTTTAATTTTGAAAATTTAAGTAATGTTTTAAGCTTAACTCTTACGTGAGAGGGATAGTGGGGCCATTAGTTGGAGACTGTTTGTTTGTTTTTTATTTTTACTGATGTCAGAGAGAAAGAGAGAGGGATGAGAGAGAATCATGGGTCAGCTGCCTCCTGCACGCCCCCTGTAGGGATCGAGCCTACAGCCCGGGCATGTGCCTGACCGGGAATCAAACTGTGACCCCAACCATTGAGCCACACTGGCCTGGCCAGACTGTTTTATTTAAGCAAGAAAATGTTCATCCTAAAGAGTTGTAAAATGTATTTTAAATAAAATCTAATAATATCATATTGAAAATAAATTTACTTTAAATTATGTATTTTCAAAAAGAGTCATGTAGGAGATGCTTTAATCCAGTTGATGTGAACAGACAGGTATGCTTGAGATCTGGTGTGTGCGCCCCTAACAGCCACAGAGGTGGTGGGGATTTTACTTAGGGCATGCTAGAGAGAATATGTTTATTACGACGAGTTTAATGCAATTCAGACATCCATGAGGTGTCTTGTCAGGCTTCATTTGTAACTGGAGAGAAACGTCTGCATTTGAAACATGAGCCCGGTAGCGCCAAGGTCGGGTTTTCCTGGGGTGAGAGTGGGCAGAGTAAGTAACTAAGGTAGAGGTTCCCGCTTTCCCCAGGGCCCTGCTCCCACTTATTGAACAAATAGAAGCCCCGACAGACCGCGGGGTTCAGACGGTATCGTACTCAGGTGCTCCTCCTATTGACGGAGCGAGCCTTCTGTGTGGGGAGCTGTGGCCCTGGAGAGAACACTCCCTCCCCTGCCTGGTAGCTGTGCACGGAGCCCTGTGGGGCCCAGAGCCGGGGGGTGGGGGGGAGAGACTGGGGCCTCCACGCTGGGACGGGCAGTGGGGGTGGCGTTGTGGGTGGGCCAAGAAAGCAAACGTGAAGCAGCGCCAACACACCTTTTGATGCATCGCCCACATGTGTCCCAATTGCCTGCACAACCTCAGGTGCCCCCAGCCCTGCCCCAGTGGTCCCTGGGTTCAGAGGCCACAGGGAAGGGGAACGGAGGGGAGGAGGAGGAGATTATGGGCAGTGGGAGGAGGCTCGGCCCTTCCCTGGTCTTCAGCCTTTTCTCAGGCCCCCTTAGCGTGTGGGGACCAGAGGCCGAGACCTGGTGATCCCCGTCAGCCCGTGTCCTGTCGGGCTGTGCGGTATCTAAAGGCATCCTTCCAAGGGCAGATGTCAAACAGAGAGATGTCGGCGACTGTCCCGTCAGAGGGTGGGCCTCATCCAGCGCTTCTTAGCCTGCAGGATGGCTTCTTAGCCAGTGCCGAGGCCGGCCTCCCCACGCCTGGCCCCTGGGGCTGTTGGGTTTGCAGCCACGGCCAGAGGCCTTGGCGGAGTCTGGGTCGCGGTGTGACCTTGAGGGTGGACCAGGGTCTGTCCCTCCCTCCTCCTCCTCCTAAAAATCAGTGTTGACAACAGCTGCCCCACGAAAGTGTGTGCATCATAACTCTGATCAATTTGTAGATTTTAAAAAATGGCTTACAGTATGTATCCCACGTTCATGGCAAGTGCGTATATTGTCTGTTTTCTCTGATTTCCCTTTACTTATCGCTGGGACAGGCGATGTTTGTTTGGATTCCTTTCCATTGCAGAGTGGCCAGGAAACAAAATTCTTTTAAGCAAATTTAAGAACATTTTTTTTAAAGTTTTACACAGTCTAGGAAAACACTTTTCTGAAGTGGATTGAATTCATAAGTACCATTTTGTGCATCGATGCATGTTTTTATTTTAAACTGTTACGTTGTCTTTACATACGTCCAGTGAGTCTTAGAACCAGTAACATGAAAGCGACTTTCTCCGTAAGTGTTTCCTAAGTGGTGTAAGAATTATAACAAATTTTTCTTTTCTTTTCTTTTCTTTCCTCACAAAATTCTCCAGCGAGTTGAAAATGGTGACTTCAACTGGATCGTTCCGGGGAAATTCTTAGCATTTAGTGGACCGCATCCAAAAAGCAAAATTGAAAACGGTAGGTTTTTCTTTACCACCCAACAATGTGCTTCAGACCGTCTTTAATTCCTTCATTTCCTCCAATAATCCTTCCTTTCGGTGATATTCTCCGGAGAATTTCGTAATTTGGAAACGAATCGTAGTAACTCGTGTGCTCGATGCCACCCTGTAGGGGTGGAGCCGTGGCCGCTGCTGTAAGACCAGCCGATGGTCAGGGGGTCAGAGGGGCTCACTGCCCTGACCCAGGTGTCAGAGGAGACCCCGAGAAACAGGCCGTCACCCCTGAGAGACGCCTGCTCCCCTCAGGGGCTCCGGGTGCCGGGTGCCGGGTGCTGGGTGCTGGACGCAGAGTCTCAGGGCCACAGAGAGCACGTTGGGGCCGCTGTGGGGACGCGAGAGCCGCCGTGTTTGGGTTAAACGCTGGGATCGTAAATGCGTAATTTAGCGGCAGACCGCAGCATAGTTTGGATTGCAAATTTTCTAAAAACAAAACAAAACACCAAACCACCCAGAACCCCCCGGGGATAATGTTTTTCTCGTTTATGTTTTAAAAAAGGAAGAACAAAAGCAGAGAGACAGACATACAGACAGACAGACAGCAGAGGCAGGGAGTCCCACTCTCCGAAGGTCAGCCTGGCCCTTTAAGGAGAGAGCAGATGGGAGCTGGGCAGGTGGGAGCCGGCTGCACCCCTCGCTGGCTGCACCCCTCGAACCGTGTGAGCTCCTGCACCTCTCTGAGCGGGGTTCCCCCTCTATCAAAGGGGGGACAACGCGCATTGCAGGCGCGCAGTGAGGATTAGAGAGACTGTATCCAGTGCTCTGCACACGATAGGTGCTTATTAGGGAGCAGATACTCAGATTCCGTGTTTATCATGGATGAGCCTAATATTTTATGTACTTCATTGGCCTATTTTTCAGTTTTTACTTTTATTAATGACTGGTGGGCCTGGTCATTCCTCTGCTGATCTTTGGTTCCCTGACTTCTGATGAGGGAAGACATGACTGTTTAGATCTCTCTCTGCCCGCAAGTTCTGGTTTGGTTAGATCCAGGGTCCTGCCTGAGCTTCACTGATGCCAGGGCACCACCTAGCGGCTGGACGGAGAAGGGCAGCCGTGCATGGCGCGACCATCAGTCCCCAGAGCATAGATAGCACCCCAAACAGCTGTGAGAGCATTGATGGCACCCCAAACACGGTGAGAGCATTGATGATACCCTCAAACAGCGGGGAGAGCATTGATGGCGCCCCAAACAGCTGTGAGAGCATTGATGGCACCCCAAACACTGTGAGAGCATTGATGATACCCTCAAACAGCGGGGAGAGCATTGATGGCACCCCAAACAGCTGTGAGAGCATTGATGGCACCCCAAACACTGTGAGAGCATTGATGATACCCTCAAACAGCGGGGAGAGCATTGATGGCGCCCCAAACAGCTGTGAGAGCATTGATGGCACCCCAAACACTGAGAGCATTGATGGCACCCCAAACACTGTAAGAGCATTGATGACCCCCTCAAACAGCTGTGAGAGCATTGACAGCACCCCAAACACTGTGAGAGCATTGATGACACCCTCAAACAGCGGGGAGAGCATTGATGGCACCCCAAACAGCTGTTCCCAGCCATAGGATATTGCCACTGGCTTTGGGTATAGCTCACTGAAACACTTGCGGTCTGTAAGAAACCTGCTCACCAACGCTAGGAAGTGGAGACCCAACAATTAGCCTCAGGTTGGTTCTGGCCCGAAATCAGCCCCAGCGCAGCCCGGAGCCTGACTCCAGGGCGCAGCCGCCGCCGTCTCTCCTGCCCGCTGTGGGTAGGGCCGGGCCCTGTGCAGCCTCGCCAGCTGGCTGATTGCAAGGTTCATGAAGCACCTCGCGTAGCGCCTGGTCCATAGCAAGTGCTCTGCACGTCGGCTACGGTTATCCTCATTCTTGTCGTTCCTTCAGCGTCCTGTTGCCATAGTTGGTGACGTCAGTGACCTTTTCTCAAAAGAACGATGATTTGGGCCAATAAACCGACGAGGAGCACAGGTGTGACTTTCCCGATGGGAAAGCAGTTGTCCTCTGGTGCCTGTGTGAGTCACTTCTCTACATGGAAGATGGCAAATACGCTCCCACCTCTTTGCTCAAAAGTAGAAATTGTGTATCTGGGCTGTGGGTTAGCCAGGCCTGCCTCTCAGATCCGCCTGCCTCCGTGGGGTGACCTCGGCTCAGTGTGCCCCTCGGCTCGGGGGGCGGGGGGGCAGGCGGAAGAACCAACTCTGGCAAATGAAGCCCGAGAGGCACCGATCGGAATGATGCTGGGAGTCCCAGCCCCCGGGGAAGGCGGGGGAACGAGGCTTAAGAAACAGCCAGGATCCCAGGGAGAGAAAGGGGGGATCCCCAGGGGTCCCCCGCTGTGCTGACAGCCCCCTCTCCCGCAGGTTACCCCCTCCACGCCCCCGAGGCCTACTTCCCTTACTTCAAAAAGCACAACGTGACGGCCATCGTGAGGCTGAACAAGAAGATCTACGAGGCCAAGCGCTTCACGGACGCGGGCTTCGAGCACTACGACCTCTTCTTCATCGACGGCAGCACGCCCTGCGACAACATCGTGCGCAGGTTCCTGAACATCTGCGAGAACACGGAGGGGGCCATCGCCGTCCACTGCAAAGGTGCGCGCCCGCCAGGCCCCAGAGCCACTGTGTCTGAGAAAAGGGGACGCAGCCTGTTGGCACAACCCCTTCCCAGGAAAGGGTGGCTTGGATGTGGGTGCCGGTGGCGGTGTGGCCTCCGGGTCCCCTCGCTTCCCAGGCGCCTCCGTGCGGGGCCGGGGCAGCATCTGTAGGCTGGCAGGGCACTTTTATTCTAATTGTTGAAGACTTAAAAAAAATATGTTCGTATTGATTTTGAGAGAGAGAGAAAGAGAGAAGGAGCGAGAAATGGAAACATTGATGAGAGAGGAGCATTAATGGTCAGCTGCTTCCTGCACGCCCCCAACTGGGGATCGAGCCTGTGACCTGGGCATGTGCCCTGACCAGGAATGGAACCCGCAATATCTCCTTTCCTGGTCGGCGGCGCTCAGCTGCTGAGCCACGTGGCCGGGCAGGCGCCGGCACACCTGTCAGGAGGCGAGGGCTGGTTGGTCCCTCTCTCCCTCCTGGAATCGGCCACCCCTTTCCTCCCTCCCCACCCCCTGGTCTGATGCTCCCTTTCATGCTCCAGATGTCAGGCCTGCCCCGTCCGCTCCTGCCTTTCCCCACGGGCTCTGCATTGTGGAGGCGCGTGTCTTCCCAGCCCGAGGCCAGGGCACGGCAGCCCACGGGAGTCACCGGCTGTTGGCTTGTCTCTGAGTGAAGGGCAGGACTTGGTCGTGTAAAGGAATCTCTGGTCTCGGGGTGGGGGGGGGCACACTGGGGCAGGGTCCTCCGGGTTGTAGGGTTTAGCACAGAGCAGTGCAGGCCGCCCAGTGAAAGTTCAGTTTTAGGTAAACGAGAATTTTTTAATGTGTCTCAAATATGCACGGAACGTACGTGCTGTATGTTCCCTGCAGCCGTGTCCGCTGCTCGGCAAACGGCGAGAACACATGCTGGGAGCTGTGGAGGCTGGTCTGTGATTTCCCTGCGGAGGAATGGCTCTGGCCTCCCTGGGCTGGGCCCCGGCTCCCCACGTGCAGCGTCTCCGAGCGCCACTGGGGGGCGCTGCTCCCGCACCTGTGGGGTTTGGTGCTCAGGGTCTGGTCGTGTGGGGGCTGCGCTGCTGGAGCTGATGTGTTCCGGAGCTGCTCTGGCTGTGACAGTGATGGGACGCCATCGGGGCTGCTGCTATGTTTAAGATGTGAGTAGGTGGAGGTACTTTGCTGAACATGTGAGAGCAACGGAGGCTGCCTCTGCAGGGACCCGGGAGGGGGCTGAGCGGCACGCGGCCCCCATTTAGATGGGGCTCCCGCGTCTGGCCAGTCCACCCGACAGGCCCCCCCTCCCGTTTCCCGGCAGGATGGGGCCCGAGGGCAGGCCTCCCTGCCTCGTAGGGGGGTCTCTCCTTCACTCCTGGCGGATTGCTGCTCTCCCTTCCCATCAGGTCACGTTGGGGGGGCGGGTGTGCCCCGGGTGTGGCCCATTCGCAGCCTAACTGCCTCGCCCTCGCATTTTGGTCAAGATTGCCCAGCACGCCCTGGCCAGGCAGCTCGGTGGTTTGTGCGCCATCCTGATAGGCCAAGGTTGCGGGTTTGATCTGGGTTAGGGTACATTCAAGAACCCACAAACGAATACATCAATAAGTGGAACAGCAAGTCAATGCCCCCCCCCCCTCAAATAAAACAAATAAAAATAAATGGAAGGATTGCCCAGGCCCACGAAAAAGCCCCACTTCACATTTCACGTATCGGCGGAAGCTGGGAGCTCCTGGGAACAGGAAACGCTCGCAGGCTCTCTCTTAAACTACTTTTGTCTTTCCAGGATGAATTCGGCCTGGCGTCTAGCTTGGTTTTGTGGGTTTTTGTATTAGGATAATCCGCTGCAGCTTTGGTACAGCGAGTGCACTGCAGCCTGGACGTGCGCCTTGTTGCACAGAGGACTCTGCAGCGAGTCTGCGCGGCTCAGGTGGTCGCTCCGTGACTCGGTTGTGATGTCGGTGTGGGAGGCGCCATCCCGACCGGACGCCCGGGGTCAGTGTGTGGGCCGTCCCGCTCCCAGGTGGCGACACCCGGCTGAGTGTTTCATTTGCTTCCACTTGTACGCACACGTGGGAGCCTTGTACAAGGATCACACCTTCGGAGTAATTACCGCTCCGTGGCTTTCATAGCATCGGTGTCTGCGGGAGGCCCGTTAATTATTTTGACATCCGCCCTAATTAAGTCAGCTTCATTTTCTGGGAATTCAGCCGCCTCGAGCATTTAACTGAACTGCGAGGAGGAGGCAGCGAGAACAGTCTTCCGTGTCCCACGAACTTCGGTGGCTGCGGAGAGAACGGCTGTGCCACGCGCCTCCCGCAAAGTGCTGTGCAGAGCAGGGGTGGGGAACGTCCGGCCCGCGGGCCGAGTAAGACCCTCAGAATCATTGGGCCTGGCCCTGCCAAGGCATCAGGGGTGTTAATGTTTGACCAAGCAGAGCAGGCGGATGTTTACGTGGATGACGTTGTGTGGCCCCTGAGTGACGTTATAAATGTCCAGATGCCCTTAGCAGGAAAAGCTCCCCCCTCACCCCCCGCGGACAAACCAGAACCGAGTTTGCTGGGCAGGTGTGACCTGCTGTGACCGTTCAGTGTCTCCTGTTCACCTTCTGGTTGAGTGAAGAGAGGGCTGGGGACTCGTGAAATTTTCTAGCACAATCGTTTGGAACATGGCCGCACTATGCAGTCCTGACCGGCGATTGCTGAGTTCTGCAGCAAGCATGTCAAACTCAAAGGCTAACACGGGCCAAATACACAAGGCATGCGGCCCGCGGGCCGTGAGTTGGACATGCCTGTTCTGTAGGGATTTCAGGAACCGCCTGGCCCTGTAAGGCGGGCGGTGGGGCAGTCGGTAAATAGACCCCGTCCAGCTTCTCGCCCTGCGGCACCAGGAGCCCTCTCGCTAGGCCCGCTTTCACAAACCGTTCAGGCTCTTCTAGAACCTAGCGGAACGCTCCTCTCCTGTGCGATCCTGGTGAGAGTGCAAGTACGTTCTTTTTATAGATTAAATTACAAGCTTTTTGAAAGGGGGAAGCAGCTTATGTTTCAGAGGAATCTGAACACTTTCTGCACCTTTTCTTTTTGGTTGTGGGTGTGTGTGGCGAGGAGCCCCTCCCCCCGCCCCCTCCCCGGCCCAGGGAGAGGGCGTGGGGGCACTGGTGTCCCCGCAGAGGCCAGCGGAGGGGCTCTGGACGCCGACTGGGCCCTGGTCCTGCTCCGGGCCACTGGGCTGTGTTCTGTCAACATGATCTGTGGCCTTGTCAGACCTCCGCACAGACCAGGACAAATGTCTCCTCACTCCTACGTCTAAAGAAGAGCCTAGGAGGCCACATTAACGTCACTCTTTTCTAGCGCCTTGGTGCTGGGTCAGGTCCTTGGGGTCAGGAGGTGGCCCTGCTTCAGGTGCCCCCCCCCAGCCCCTCGTCTGATGAAACGGGGTCGGTAGCGTTTAAACAGGCAGTGCCGGGCAGGTGCGGGAGGGTTTGCTTCCCCGGCTCGTCCCTCTCTTGCAGCCGGCCTGGGCAGGACGGGGACGCTGATCGCCTGCTATGTCATGAAGCACTACAGGTTCACGCACGCCGAGGTCATCTCCTGGATCCGGATATGCCGGCCCGGCTCCATCATCGGGCCCCAGCAGCACTTCCTGGAAGAGTAAGTCTGTTGTCCCCACGGGCGGGGTACATCCGGGTCCCTGGTCGCCCTGCCTCCGTTTCCCCCGGACCGTGGCAGCCGGGGTGATGAACGGCTGCATCAGGCGGGAAGGCCGCGCCCCAGGAGCCTGGCGAGGGGATGGCTCCGGCCTCCTCCCGGCTCCTGTGGTCTCCGGGCCGGGCAGGCGAGAAGGAGGCGCAGAGCCACCTGCGCCCGCCTGTTCCCTGTCGTTTCCTGGGTGTGATCTGGCCTCAGTGTGATTTTCTTACGTCTTCCCATCTGGCATGTCATTCCCTTCTTTTCTGTTGTTTGCACGTCTATAAGCAGAACGGAAAACACACAAACCAAACAAAACGCAGCTGAGGTCTGTGGTGACGGTGGCGAGGTAGCTGCTCCCGGACAAGGAGGCAGCTGCGTGTGGCTGCATCTGAGGAGCTGCCTGGGCAGGAGGGAGAGCGGCTGGTCCCACCTGCCCGGACTCAGAGGAATACTGATAACCCCTCCCTCCTTCCCGTGCTCACCACTGGCTTTGGTCAAACCCCAGTCCCCAAGGGGGAGAGACTGAACCTGTAGGCGCACAACCCTTCCCGGTTTCCCCTTCACATTTTAGAAATCACCAGCCATTCGCCCATTAACGGGACGAGGAGCCCTGGCTGCTGGGGCTCGGTGGGTGAGTGTGTCTGTGCACGGAGAGGCCTGGCTGTAAGCTGTCCGTCGGCCCAGCGGCCTGTTGGCTGTCCCCCTGTCCGTCGGCCCAGCGGCCTGTTGGCTGCCCACCCCTGAGAGGGACAGTGAGCCACAGCAGGTGTCCCCCAGGGGGTCCCAGGCAGGCACGCCCGCCCGTGTGCCCAGCGGCAGGTGTGGGAGCTCGGGCTTCTGCACAGATGTGCAGACACGTGGTGTGGTCAGTCTTCTGGTCACGCCGTCGCGTTCTGTTTGGCCTGGGAATTTGCTTTGGAGCCGCTGTTGGCCTCCCGACCCCAGAACCGTGCAGAAGTGCCGTGTTCTCCTGGGCTGCCACGTGCGTGGGAATTGGTTCCGGCAGCTTCGTGTAGGCAGGACACTGAGGCACCCGTGGAGGTGTCGTCACCTGTGGCAGGTCGGGGGGATGGGCAGTGAGACCCCAGGCCCCCTGTGGGCGTGGCTGTTCGGAACGAGTCGCGTTCATCAGATTTCTCCCTTGGGGGGTTCAGAGGGGGGCACTGTGACCTCACGTTACTCAAGGAGACTGGGCTCAGCGCTGTGTCCAGTGGCTTCCCACCAGCAGGTGTGGGAGCTGGAGTCAGAGGCTAAAGAAAGAGCCTGGGACTCGGCCCCGGGCTAGAAGGGGGGCCCCGGCCGTTGCAGGACATCAGTCTCAGGCGGTGAGGACGGAAAGACATGAGAGATGAAGAGAGTGGCGTCGGCGATGATGCAGACGCATGAATAAGTAACACGCTCCTCAGGGAAGAAATGAGGGTGAAACGTCTCCTGATGGGTTTTCATCTGTCAGACCCTGAATGGGGGGCAGATGGTGCTCCTCCACGTGAGCCACGGAGCCCTGTGGGGAGGGCATTCCAGCCCCGAGACCTCAGGACGCTGCTCCTCACGCCTGCCAGGCCTCACACCACACACGCCCGGGCGTTCATTTCTGTGTCTTTTTTAAAGAATATTTTTATTGATTTCAGAGAGGAAAGGAGAGGGAGAGAGAGAGAGAAACACCCAGGATAAGAGAATCATGGATCGGCTGCCTCCCGCACGCCCCACACTGGGGACGGAGCCCGCAACCCGGGCCTGTGCCCTGACCGGGAATCGCACCGTGACCTCCTGGTTCATAGGGCGACGCTCAACCACTGAGCCACC